GTGCCCAGAGTAGGCAAATTCATAGGGGCAGAAAGTAGAATAGAGACTACTAGAAACTGCAGGGAAGGGGGAACGAGGCATTAATGTTTAATTAATTAATGGGTACAGTTTCTGTTTGGGATGACAAAAAAGTTCCAGAAGTGGGTAGTGGAGATGGTTGCACAACATTGTGAATGTATTAAGACTTAATGCCATGACATTGTCCACTTATATATGGTTAAATGGTAAATGTTATATTATATATATTTTACCACAATACAAAAAAAATTTTTTTAAAGCAGGGAGGCAAGCATTTCAAGTAGAGGCAAATGCCAGGACAAAGGCCCTGCAGTTGGTAAGAGCTTGATGTGCTGGTTGGGGGAGAGCGATGAGAGATGCCACCTGGAGAGAAAGAGAAGCCAAAAGGGCCAAACCCCTGTTGGTGTCAGAGGCCAAGCACAGGATGCTATTCCACATGCAAGGGCAATGCTTCTGGCAAAGTTTTAGGCAAGGAAAGAGGATAATCTAATTTATACTTCAAGCATAAAAGTAGAATCTTAAAGGGATTGTTCAGTGCCAGACACACGGATGGTGAGAATTCCAGCCTGAAAGGACAAGAATTCCCCATAAGGTAGGGAAGCGTGTCTGGAAGACAGAAGCTCCCAGAACCATCCAACTGGGCTGCCAACACTGGAAACCACTCCTCACTGGACTCGTCTGCAGGTAGGCAAATGCCTTTGTACAAGAGTAGCCTGTTGCGTGTGACCAGCCCATTTCCCCCTGGGACCTCTCTTAGTCTTTTACCCATTCTTCTCACATAACGCTTGGGCTCTCACCCATCTCTTCTCTCCTCCCAGACTCCAGACTTCCTCGATCCTGGTTCTACCATACAGAGCGTCAGGCCTGGGCTCTGGATCTGTTGTTAATGACAACACAGTTAAAACGCTTCCCTCACCTTGCTCCTGGCTTGGTTGAAATTCAAAAATTTAAGTTCTTCAAGCTGCCACTGTCAGCTTGCATCTTCTCTGGAAATTAAAAATCCAATAAACGTATTGGAAATGCAACGTAGAGAGTCTATCTTTTCCAGCGAGTTGGTGGAAAGGTATGACTGGCATTTCAGTGCATTCCAACCTAAACAGGAAGAGGGGTCATGGAGGGCCCCTGCGGCTGGCAGCTTTCAGGCCTCACTTCCAGCCCCCACCTCTGAGGCCCACTGGGATGGGGGGCTGGGTCACAGGCACCTCTGCCAAGGCAGCAGAGCCTCTGGGGACACAGGGCCTGGGAAAAAGCAGGCAACAGGACCCCCCACCTGGACCTTCTCTGGCAGGGGAAGCCCATCATCAGCTGAAAAAGCTGTCCCCTTCACAAACACCCTGCTCGCCAGCGGCACCCGAGTTCACAGTTTGCTGGTGTTTTTAGTGGGATCCCCAATTCCTGTGGCTTTATAACTCTGAGCTAAAAACACAATGTCAGCTGGCACATGGCCCAGCTTCTGGAGTCCCAGAGAAGGCTGAAGGGTAAATAAGAAGGGGAGAGTGTGCTCAGAGAGGAGCAGGCACAGCAGTGAGAAACCAGCCACAGCCATGTGGTGACACGGGGGAGGGGGAGGAGGAAGGTGTCAGCAGGCAGAGGGAGCAGTTATTAGAGGAAGAAAACAGAGGCGAAGAGCTTTTAAATAACAGTTCTTCGGGAGAACATAGCAAGCACTCTCCTCTAAATTAACTTCCTACATTCTCAGTCCAATAATGCAGATGACTGCTAATTTTCAAAGTAATATAAATTGCTTACATGGAGTTTCCCATATAAATCCTTAGAGGGTTCTTTGATAGGCATTATGGAACTTTTTTTTTTTTTTTTTTTGGAGACAAGGTCTTGTTCTGTCACCCAGGCTAGAGTGCAGTATTGTAATCATAGCTCACTATAGCCTCAAACTTCTGGGCTTAAGCGATCCTCCTGCCTCAGCCTCCCCAGCTGGGACTATAGGCACATGCCACCATGCCCAGCTAATTTTTCTTACTTTTTGTAGAGATGGGGTCTCACTGTGTTGTCCAGGCTGGTCTTGAACTCCTGGGCTCAAGTGATCCTCTCACCCTGGCCTCCCAACGTTCTGGGATTACAGGAGGGAGCCACTGTGCCCAGCCTATTATGGCATATTTTAATCTAAGTTCTGCATTTTAATTGATCCATTGAAAGATAATCTTAGAACTAAAATGTACCTTTAGAATTTCTTAACCCCACAAAGATGATAGTCAACTATCAAAATGTGTTTAGAGTCTGAGCAGCAAATCAGAATACGAAAAGGATTAATTTAGCTAAGCACCATCACTGGGGTTTCTTAGCTATGCAATGAATTCAATGAAAATTGGTTTTTTCCTTTTTTCCAAAATGAAAACAGCTTGTTACTTTGTCTAATATGTAAAAAAATTCCTTCATGCTTGCTTTGGCAGCATATATACTAAAATCGGAATGATACCAGGATAAGCATGGCCCCTGCACAAGGATGACATGCAAATTCATGAAGCGTTCCATTAAAAAAAAAAGTTCTTTTGCTACAGAAAGTATATAAAATATAAAAATCATCCAGGATATACCCCAGTGGAAACTTTCACCATTAACATTTTGATGTATAGCCTTCTAAACTTTTTGCCAAGCTTATCTATACATAGGAACTTTCAATTTGAGATTGTGTTATTCATAGAGTTTGTAATTCAGAAATATACTGTTAATACTTACCTATGTTGGTAAATATTCTTTTCTAACATAATTTTTATTGGCTACATAGTATTTCATTTTATGGATGTGCTGTGATTTATTTAAACAATCTTCTGTTGATAGACATTTGGGATTGTTTCCAGTATTTCACTATTATAAAGTTACAAACAAAAAGTTAATATAACTACAGAAAATTAGAAGTTATGAATCCTTGACACTTCTCTCTACAAATATATTTGAAAATCTGGATGAAATAGATGATTTTCTAGGAATACATAAATTACCAAAATTGATTCTAAAAGGGAAAGAAAACTTACACATGCCAGTAAGTATAAGAAGACTTTTTGAAAATAGTCCAAGGGCTACCTCTCCAATAGTGCCACATCAGGATGATTTTTCAGGTGAAATCTCCCAAATCTTTAAAAATTCTATTTATAGTCTTCCAGAGAATAAAGAAGGAAATATTTGTACATTCTTTTTTTTCTTAATTCAGAATAATGTTGATGCCAAACCCAACAAAGACAGCCCAGGAAAAGAAAACAGACCAATCTCATTCATGAACATCAATGTGAGAATTCTAAGTAAAATTTAGCAAATATAATCCAGATTAAAATAATAAAACACCAAAGACCCAGAATAATTCATTCCAGTAATTGTACTGATCATTATCAGGAAATCTCATGTAATCCACACATTACTCTTTAAAAGAAGAAAAAATATATAATAACTTTCATACTTGCATAAAAGACATGATACAAATAACTCATTTCTAATTTTAAAAAACTAGTAAAATGGGAATAGAGGGTTGTTTCCTTAAGATTATATATATATTTCCAAAAACTGGTAAAATGGTAATATTTGAAGATAGAGAGAAAGCCAAAAGTGAAAAACAAACCAAAAGCCAACATCATCATAAAAACAGAAGCAGTATGATACAGTGATTGAAAATACAACTCCTGAAACTAGAATTCCTGGGTTCCAGTTTCAGCTTTACCACTAGTTGTATGACCTTAAACAAACAAGTCATGTGTCACTTAACAATGGGGATGTGTATGAGAAATTTGTCACTGGGCAATTTCTCTGTTCTCTGAACATCATAGAGCATACTCACACAGATCTAAACGCTATAGCCTACTACACACCTAGGCTATACAGTATAGCCTATTGCTCCTGGGTTACAAACCTCTATAGCATGTTACTGCACTGAATACTATAGGCAACCTAACACAATGGTAAGTATTTGCGTATGTGAACATAGAAAAAGGGCTGGGCACTGTGGCTCACACCTGTAATCCTAGCACTCTGGGAAGCCGAGGCAGGAGGATCACTTGAGCTCAGGAGTTCAAGACCAGCCTGAGTAAGAGCGAGACTCAATCTCTACTAAAAATACAAAAAATTGGCTGAGCATGGTGGTGCACCCCTGTAGTCCCAGCTACTGGGGAGGCTGAGGCAGGAGGATCGCTTGAGCCCAGGAGTTTGAGGTTGCAGTGAGCTAAGCCGATGCTATGTCACTCTAGCCTGGGCAACAGAGTGAGACTCTGTCTCAAATAAAAAAATAAATAGATAGTACAGTAAAAATACAGCATAAAATAAAAAATGGTATCACTCTATAGGGGGTCTTACCATGAGTGGAGCTTGCAGAACTAGAAGTTGCTCTGGGTGAGTCAGTGAGTGGGTGGTGAGTGAATGTGGAGGCCTAGGACGTTACTGTACACTTTTATACGACCAGCAGTGGAATAGGTTTGTCTACACCAGCATCGCCACAAACATGGGAGTGACACGTTGCACTACAATGCTACAACAGCTACGATTTCACTGGGCGATATGAATTTTTCAGCTCTGTTATAATCTTATGGGACCACCATTGTACGTATGGCCTGTCTTTGTGTATAAAGTGCTTAGAACAGTACTTGGCATATAGCGCTACATTCGTGTACATAATTGGATATACATAACATCAAAAAGCCAAGACCATGAATGATGAAACGCCCAAACCATTTCCATGAAAGTTGGGAATCAAAAAATAATATTGAAAGTTAACACTACTGTTTAAGTTGTTGTTCTGAAAATACCAGCCAGGAGAAAAATATAACTTTTATAAAATATAGAAAAATAAAACATGGAATTATCATTATTTGCAGATAATAAGATACTGGAAATGCCAAGAGAATCAACTGAAAACCTATTAGAAACAAATAAGAATTTATTAGATTTAACTCATTCACTACCCCAAAGTGAAATTTAGAGAGAAAAATGACAACAATCTCAAGATGGTGTGAGCTGCAAACTTGAACCTTTTGAAAACTCACCTCGGCAATACAATTTTGGGGACTCCCATGTGCCCAGGACCGTGCAGCTGGACACTGCATCTTCTGGGACACTGAAAAATCCTTCTTTGCAAGCGTAACGAACCTGGCTGCCCAGCCTAGAGGTATAATTTCCCACAATGTAGCCATCTGGAACCTCAGGAGGGTTGCCACAGTCTATTTCTGAAAATAAATTAATGTCAAATTCATTATTATGTGAATGCAAATTTTCAAAATTCATAAACTCTCTCTACCTCTTCCCCATTTCTCACACACACCCCCAAGCCATATTTTAAGTACACTGGTTCATTTCCACATGACTTGTGGGCACGTTTCCAGTGATTGTCCTTATTCAGTCTTCTGGCCTTCCATCAGCAGTAGCAGCTATCCATGCACAAAGCTGATTGAATTTAGCAAGCAACCCTTGCTAATTCATACTAACTAAAGAGAGGCCTAGTCGAATGAAGTAAAAAAAATTGAATTGCAAAAAAAATACCTTAAGATATGTGTACCTTTATAATTCTCAGGGTCACTTTTGAAATCCTGGGTCCTTATCAGATCAGCAGTGTTTACTATCTAACATAGTAGTTAATATCAGAATATTTATTGCCTGCTAAAAATTCCTTAAAGTTTAACAATTTTAGCTTTTTTTTTAACATGGCCCCTTCTATCCTGATTACTCTATTTGCTTTATTTGCACGGTTGTACAAACGTGCAAAGGATCAGATCGTCTCAACCCTCGTTCCCAACAAAGACCTACAAACACAGGCTCAGAGTGGAAGAAAATCACCATCAATAGAATCTCACCTTGAGATGCTTCATTCTTTGGCAGAAACCCACCTGTGCACGACGTGGCATCTCTGGTTGGGTGGAAGGGTTCAGGCCCATTCTGTGGCAAGTATCCGTCCAGACAGTAACATTCAAAGCTCCCATGCGTGTTCGCACACCGCCCTCCGTGCCCGCACAGGTCAGAAACCGCACACTCATCTATGTCTTGCAGCCCATCCCAAATACAAGTAAAGAAGAAAAAAACAGAAAAAGGAAAAAAAGGTGGGACATTGTAACAGCCATTTTTTCACATCCTCAATCCACCCTTATAAATGGTTGCACTTGTTTGCAATCTATCATGAATTTTATTTTATGCCTTATGGGTTCTTCTCCTAAATCCCTCACCTTATAGGCACTGAAAACATAGGAAGTGCTCAATTAATGCTTGTCAGTGTGTTCTGGGAATTGACAAAAACCAGGAACCATCACCAGCTCCCTGACTCCCAGCAAAATGGACTCAAAAAAGTATGTTAAAAAGTATACAATTACTATAAAATAAGAATGGTCCCAGCCTCATATTAAAATATCTAAAGTAGAGCTCCAAATGTAAAACAGTTTACATAAGAGTGAAAATGCCGGGAACTGACAGCTTTCTAGCTCATGAGCACACGATGATGAGTCAGGTAGTAAGGGGGTAATTCAATTAAAAAGGGTCTTGGTAAATTTATCAAGATTAGAAGGGCTTTAAAACAGCCTTCAAGGACAAGACATGCCCCTTTGCAGACTTCTCTACTTGACTGGAGATTGCCAGAGATAATGGGTACAAGGTAAAAACTGCAAAATAATTCAGAGGCTGGAGAAGAAATCTCTCTAACAGCAGTTTTCCTCCCCCATAACTGATTTTTAAACTTTAACAATCCCATCAGCTGAGCATAGTGGTATCCGCCTGGAGTCCCAGCTACTCAGGAGGCTAAGGTGGGAGGATCACTTGAGTCCAGGATTTCTAGGCCAACCTGGGCAACATAGCAAGATCCCATCTCTAAACAAACAAACCAAAAAAACCTCCAAAAAACCGAAAAACTACTAACATCATCATTTCTTAAAAGAAAGGACATTTTAGCCCCCAAATGAAAGAAGAAAATCATCTAAAATTTCTTCTAATTTTGTTTAATGTAATTTTATAAAAATTCACTCTTTTTTTGTTATTGTTGTTGGACCAATGAACATCATTCACACTGCTTATTACTGGGGAACCAGTAATTCTATTCAATTGCTGAAGGAGCCACGCATTCTGGGGCTTGAGCAAGTAATATGAGGCAAGAGTGGGAGGTGTCAACCTGCAGGGGGAGCTCAGGCATCTACCCCCAACTCCCAAAGAGGAGCAGCAGCGCCTTCGTCAAGGCCTCTGGCATTTGGTGGGACAGAGCTCTGGTTTAACCATCCTTTGATTGAGAATCTTTGGCCCCTCTCTCTTTCCCAGGAGCTGGGGCAGTGCAGGGGTCTGACACCTTCACCAACCACAGTTGGAGACCTAAGCAGGAGTCAGGGGACTCCCCAGGGAGGTGGGCAAGGAGCTCCTAAGTGGTGTTGAGCGCTGCTCTGGGCAGCAGGGAACAACTCCTCCCAGTGTGTCTTCCTTGGATTAGTCTTTCTTTGCTTCTTTCAGAGCCAAGAAACCTGACTCTCTAAGAATAAAATCCAGTTAAAACAAAGGCCCGGGAATTGGAGAGCACAGCTCCATCTGGAGAAAGCACCTGGAGAAACCTCAGGACAGCCACGGGCTATGGTACGACACCCCGCAGGGAGCAGGCAGAATCACGCTGGGACTAGACATTCGTGTCTGAGGCCACGGCAGGCTGCTTCAGAGCCCAAGACCGCAGGGCGGCTGAGAAGCTTGTGGGCAATGGCTCACGTGGGGGATGAGGCTCCTGACCTGGGAGAGAAACCAACAGACTAAAGCTAGCCTGGTAGGAGTAAGGACTTACACACCCAGGAATGAAGGCGTTTACTTGACCACAGGCAGACCTAGAGGAGACAAGCTTTGGGCAGGAGGTTCCAGGAACTGAAGAATGGCAAAAAACATGCACTCCTTCAAGGTTTGTTTGGGGTTTTTTTGTTGGTGGTAGTTGTTTTGTGTTTGGGTTTGTTTTTGTTTTTGTTTTGCCTTTATCTTACTTCTTGGCCAAGGATGACATACTGTTACATTTCTCCAGAAGAAATGGCATCAGGCCCTGAGACTGCAGGAAATGAACTTATGAAAAAGAAGATGGCCACTGCCATCAAAGTCGGGATGGGTTCCCAAGACTTGCAGAATTGAAAGCCACAGAAAAGTCATTTCATGTTTTCTGGCAGACCCTCCTAGGGCTGTGCCCACCTGGAGCCATGTTGGTGGGGAGATGACAGCCCGGCCTCGCGCCCACGTCAGTCCCATTTCTCTCCACCCACTCCCCGCCTACCCAAGTCAAATCACCCTCACACGGGAAGTGTCACAGAGCTTCTTCCACTGGACTGTGACTCAGGGCAAAGTTTCCATGATTCCCAGGAGTCATTCGGGGTCAGATCTGGGGGCTAGAACATCGGCCGGTTCTCCAGGACTGGCTGGTATCGTCCCACACTAGAACCCCGGCAACTCATTCCTCCTCTATCACTGGTGCCATCCAGAGAGGCCTACCTGTCTTCAACTCTGCAAAGGACAAAAAACACCTGCAGACTGCACCCTGTGGTTTCAGGAAAACCCTGACTAAATGCTGACACCCCAAATTTGCTAAGCTCTGCCTCAGCTGAAGTCCAGGGATGTTTCTCTGGCAACTATGATTCAGAAATAAACAGTATCATCAAGAAAAGTGGTCCATCAGCTTTCACAAAGTGAAACTGGAGACCTCAAAAGGAAAACTAGATTGGGTGCAGTGGCTCGTGCCTGTAATCCCAGAACTCTGGGAGGCCGATGTGGAGGATCCCTTGAGGCCAGGAGTTCAAGATGAGCCTGGGCAACATAGCAAGACCCTATCTCTACAAAATATTAAAAAATAAAAATTTTAAAAATTAGCCAAGTATGGCAGTATGGCCTTGTAGTCCTAGCTACTCAGGTGGCTGAGATAGGAAGATCCCTTAAGCCAGGAGTTCAAGGCTACAGTGAGCTATGATCATGCCGTGACACTCTAGCCTGGATAACAAAGCAAGACCCTGTCTCAGAAAAAAGGAAAAGTCACAGGAAGGACTGCCAATGCATCAGAGGCTCCACTTTGGGGTGATGGAAATGTTCTAAAATGAAATAGTAGTGATGGTGGCACAACTTTGTGAATAGACTAAAAACCACTGAATTGTACACTTCAAAAGGATGAATTTTATAATATATAAATTACACTTCAATCTTTTTTCTTTTTTAAAAAAATAAGGGAAGATCACTAAATAATTGCAAGAAGTAGAATACACAGAAGCAGAGCCTAGATCAAGATTTTGTTCCAGGCAGATTGGCTCTTGTGTGGCTGACACCTGTTTGGCCCTGGCATAAAATATTTTCTTCTCCTCCCTTTTCCTTCTCCTCCCACCACCCCTTCCACTTCCCCTCCTACATCCTCCTCCTCCTTCTTCCTAACTTTTAAAAGTTGAATGCATTCCTCAGAACTGAACTGAAAAATATGCGGATAAATGTATAGTTATAAGTTTTCCTGGCAAACTCCCACAGCCTTACAAGCACAATTTCAGATATCACATCCTCCAGAAAGTTCCCCTGATCCCTCCCCCACTGCCAAGAAAAGTGACCCCCTAGATTCTAATAAATGCCTTTGCTTACCTATGACTAACACTTTATACTGAAATTACCTGTCTGCCTGTCACCTCCCACTAGCACAGCCTTGGCATGTAAGAAATGCTTAAGAATATGTATTGAATGAACTGAACACTAGATCATTATCTTATAAGGTTCTTTTTTTAAAGTATCTTTTAGGCCGAGCACAGTAGCTCACACATGTAATCCCAGCACTTTGGTGGCTGAGATGGGAGGATCACTTGTACCCAGGAGTTGGAGACCAGCAACATAGCAAGACCCCATTTCTGCAAAAAATTAAAAAAATTTGCTGGGCAGGGTGGTGCATGACTGTAATCCTAGCTCCTTGGGAGGCTGAGGCAGGAGGCTCGCTTGCATCTAGCAGTTGGACCACTGCACTCTAGCGTGGGTGACAGAGCAAGATCCTGTCTCTAAAATAAATAAATAAATAAAAATAAAATCAGTATCTTTTCTCTTACGTGTGTCTAATTTAATACTGCAACATTGCACTTCTGCAACCATGCAGCCAATAATTTGCTACCTAAAACAACAGGATTTTGAGGGACTATGTTCATTCAAGCCAAGAATAATCCAAACATACCCTTTAAAAGATTCTACCTGGGCACAAGGCAAGAGGGAGGATGAATGAGAGCATCAGAACCTGTGGTTCCTGGTAGGTGAGAAGATAAAACATGTTCTCATCTCCTTTTCTTTTCCCTGAAAACCTTTAAATATCACAAAGTTTTTAAGCAGAGTCATTAAGTCTAGGCAAAACCATTTCAGAACCAGGAGTCTTTTCCTGCCTTTCCCCTACATTACTGTTCAAAGATTTTCCTGGAAAGCCAAAAAGCTATATGATTATGACTTGCTGTAAAAAGAGTTCGGATGATAGAGGGGCCACTGAAAATTAGGAGGGTCTTATCCACCCCTTGAATTGAATCACCAGATGCCCAGAAATCTGACCCACAAAGCTACTGAGGTCCACTCCTCACTCAGCCTGTTCAGGTAGGATGTAAGCCCGTGTCTGTCCCAGGACAGCAGTCTGACTTCCTGTAGGCCAACAGCTGTCCACATCCCCAGGCCCTTAGGGGTAGTGTGCTCAGAGCTGGCGAGTGCCATTCACTCCAAGGACACCCCACCTGCAGTTACAGAAACCTGCATGTCCAGAAAATCCCTTTGCGTTGTTCATTATAAAATGTTCAATTACGCTCCTGTAGTCCCAGCTACTTGGGAGGCTGAGGCAGGAGGATTGCTCAAGCTCAGGAGTTTGAGGTTGCCATGAGCTATGATGTCTCCACTGCACTCTAGTTGGGGCAACAGAGCAAGACTCTGTCTCTAAAAGAAAAAGTTCAATCACACAGAACTGGAAAGAGAATATTACAATGCATTCCCATAGACCCACAAACCCCTCAAGATTCAATACAGGCCGGGCGCGGTGGCTCACACCTGTAATCCCAGCATTCTGGGAGGCCAAGGAGGGCGGATTGCTCTAGGTAGGGAGTTCAAAACTAGCCTGAGCGAGACCTCATCTCTACTAAAAATAGAAATAAATTAATTGACCAACTAAAAATATATATACAAAAAATTAGCCGGGCATGGTGGCGCATGCCTGTAGTTCCAGCTACTCAGGAGGCTGAGGCAGGAGGATTGCTTGAGCCCAGGAGTTTGAGGTCGCTGTGAGCTAGGCTGATGCCATGGCACTCACTCTAGCCTGGGCAACAAAGTGAGACTCTGTCTCAAAAAATAAAGAAAAAAAAAAAAGATTTAATACAATAGTCGTTACATTTTGTCATTTTAAGTAGCTTACAGACTAACATAATACAAGATACTGCATAATAACAACCCTAGATACTTCAGCATGCATCTCCCCAAATAGGAATATTACCCTATATACGACAGTACCATTATCACACATTAACAAAATTAACGTTAACTCCCTAATATTAACACATACACGGCCCATGTTCATATTTCCCTCACATTTGCTGTTAAAGGAGAGTCCCTCCCTTAAATCACACCTGTGCCGGCCCTACCCTCTCCTGGCTCCACAGCCCAGATACCGTCCTGCCATTACCAAAGTGCCAAGGTCACAGCCCCCTTCTCGAGTACCTGTACAAAAGGTGCCGTCGTTGGGAATGAACGTCTTGTTGTTGTTCGTGGCTCGGTATCCTTCTAGGCAAATGCAATAGAAGCCCCCGGGTGTGTTATGGCAAGATGTGTGGTTCCCACAGACCACAGTGGCTCCAAACTGGCACTCGTTTTTATCTGTTGACATATTGAGACAAGGCATTGACAGGCTCTCAGTCCACACCACGTTCAACAACCAGGCTGTCCTCCCCTGCCGTGGACTCCTGGAACCAAAGTTCTGAGGTAACAGCTTAATGACCTATTTCCCGGCCTTTTTCCCCTTCACTCCGCCCCCCAGACTAGCGGGCGCTGGCCCTTGTAGTTGCATGCCGGGAGTCTAGGAAACCTCAAGGGAAACCTAGCATCTCAGTCTGATCCAAAGATTGGGAGAGGGGATTCTTTTTGAACTTTTCCACGCTTAAAGAGATCTTGTCAGAGGCCTGGGGAAACAAACCCTGCACAATCCCAGGGTTTTCACGAAAGCCAGAGCAGGACAATGTTACATCCAGTGATTAACTGGAAAATTTGTTCCTTCTGAGCTACCAGGAAACACAATGGAATTAGTGCCAAAGCCCCATCCGGGAGCAGGGCTAATACTGCAGCAGGAACAGCTCATGCTAATCGCCAGTGACCCGTGTGAAAAATGTGAGTCACCCAGGGAGGAGCGGCTGGAACGTGGATGCTTGGTGAGTCCACAGAAGCCTGCCCTGAGCATTTTTCATTAACTAATTTGAAATTGAAAGATGTAAAATAAAAGCAAATCTCCCTTCTCATCTCTGTCCTCTAGCTCAGGGGTCAGCAAACTTTTTCTCAGAGTCTCTGGTGCAAGGACTCCCCCGTGCCTTTGGAGCATGAAGGCAGCCACAGATAATGGGTAACCTAATGATCAACGCTTCATTCCAACAAAACCCACGTCCAAAAACAGGCAGTGGGTTGAATTTGGCCCACGGGCCACAGTTTGCTGACCCTGCCCAAGCCTCTAACTTCAGAGGAAACTCCAATGACCAATTGCTTATGCATCCTTTTAGAGTTGATCTACCCAGCTAGTTTTTTGAGGGGGAAAAATTATAAACTGGCAGCTTGTTTGTTATTTTAGTGTTTTTTTTTTTTTTTTTAAATTTTTTTTTTTTTTTGAGACAGAGTCTCGCTTTGTTGCCTAGGCTAGAGTGAGTGCCGTGGCGTCAGCCTAGCTCACAGCAACCTCAAACTCCTGGGCTCAAGCGATCCTTCTGTCTCAGCCTCCCAAGTAGCTGGGACTACAGGCATGAGCCACCATGCCCGGCTAATTTTTTTCTACATATATATTAGTTGGCCAATTAGTTTCTTTCTATTTATAGTAGAGACGGGGTCTCGCTCTTGCTCAGGCTGGTTTCGAACTCCCGACCTCGAGCAATCCGCCCGCCTCGGCCTCCCAGAGAGCTAGGATTACAGGCGTGAGCCACCGCGCCCGGCCTTATTTTAGTGTTTTATTTCACCATTGGTTCCTCAAATCAATTTAATAGACTCTCACCATTGCCCTCAACTCCCACTAACTCAAAAGTGCCCCTCAAAAAATCTAAGTTTTGGTTTTTTTCATTTTTCTTTTACAGCTATGTGTCACTTAGCAGAAATATTTACTGGGAAATCTGTCATTAGGCAATTTCACCATTGTGCGAACATCACAAAGTGTACCCACACAAACCCACATGGTACAGCCTGCTACACGACTAGTCTATACGGCATAGCCTTTTGCTCCTAGGCTGCAAAGCTGTAGAGCGTGTTACTGCGCACAATACTGTAGGTAACTGTAGCACAATGGCATGTATTTGTGTATCCAAACATAGAAAGGTATAGTAAAAATAAAGTATGAAAGATTTTAAAAAGGTAGACTTGTAATCTGTCTAGGGCACTTACCATGAATGGAGCTTACAGGACTGGAAGTTGCTCTGGAGGAGTCAGTCAGTGAGTGGTGAGTAAACGTGAAGGCCTAGGACAATCCTGTACACTACTGTAGACTTGAAAAACACTACACACTTAGGCTACACTAAATTTATTTTTAAAATAGGCCAGGTGAGCTCGCACCTGTAATCCTAGCCATCCGGGAGGCCAAGGCAGGAGGATTGCTTGAGCTCAGGAGTTCGAGACCAGCCTGAGCAAGAGCAAGACCCCATCTCTACCAAAAAATAAAAAAAAATTAGCCAGGCATGGCAGTGTTTGCCAGTAGTCCTAGCTACTTGGGTAGCTGAGGCAGAAGGATTGCTTGAGCCCAGGAGTTTGAGGCTGCAGTGACCTATGCCTGCACCACCACACTCTAGTCCAAGCAACAGAGCAAGATTCTGTTTCAAAAAAAAAAATTAGCTTACCATGACTTTTTTACTTAATAAACTTTTAATTTGTTTTAACTTTTGTCTCGTTAGTAATAACACTTAGGTTGAAACACATTAGCTTTCATACATGTTGTACGGCTATACAAAAATACTCTTTCTTTATATCCTTATTCTATATTTTCTATTTTACATTTTTTTATTTTTTCGCCGCCATGCCTGGCTGACAGAACAAACATATTTCTGCTGGATTTATTGAGACCTACTGGTTGAGGAACTGGAAAATTCTAATAAAGCAGATCTTAAGGTAAAAAAAAATTATTTTTAAAAATGTTTACTTTTTAAACTTTTTTATTAAAAACTAAGACACAAACACACACATTAGTCTAGAACTACACAGGGTCAGGATCATCAATATCACTGTCTTCCACCTCCACACCTTGTCCCACTGGAAGGTCTTCAGGGGCAATAACACCCATGGAGCTGTCGTCTCCTATGGTAACAGTGCCTTTTTCTGGAATACCCCCTGAAGGACCTGCCTGACGCTGTTTTACAATTAAATTCCTTTTATAAGCAAAAGGAATACACTCTAAAATAATGATTAAACATATAGTAGGCCAGGCGAGGTGGCTCACACTTATAATCCTAGCACTTTGGGAGGCCAAGGTGGGCGGGTTGCTCAAGGTCAGGAGTTCGAAACCAGCCTGAGCAAGAGCGGGACCCTGTCTCTACTATAAATAGAAAGAAATTAATTGGCCAACTAATATATATAGAAAAAATTAGCGGGGCATAGTGGCGCATGCCTGTAGTCCCAGCTACTTGGGAGGCTGAGGCAGTAGGATTGCTTGAGCCCAGGAGTTTGAGGTTGGTGAGCTAGGCTGACGCCACGGCACCCACTGTAGCTTGGGCAACAAAGTGAGACTCTGTCTCAAAAAAAAAACAAACAAAAAAAACCATATAGTAAATACATATACCAGTAATATAGTTTTTTTATCATTATCAAGTATTCATACTGTACATAATTGTATGTGCTATGCTTTTATACAACTGGTAGCACAGTAAGTGTGTTTACACCTGCATCACCACAAACGTGGCTAATGTTTTGCACTACAACATTATGACAGCTATGACATCACTAGGTGATAGGAATTTTCAGCTCCATGGGATCAGGGTCACATATGTGGTCTATCATTGACGAAAGTGTCACTATGTGGCACATGATTGTATTAACTTTTTAAAATTTAACTGACCCTGGAACATAATTCATATTAAAACTTATCTGTGGTAAGATCTGCATGAGAGCTTAGAGAGACAGAACAGGCCCTCGGGCCATAGCTAGCCCAAGAGTCCAGCCCAGATTACAGAACACAGTGGTTTCAGACACAAGTCCAGCTGTCCATAAAATGTGATATTCCTGAACTTTGTGAGACCCCATCTCTACTAAAAATAGAAAGAAATTAGCTGGACAACTAAAAATATATAGAAAAAATTAGCCGGGTTTGGTGGTGCATGCCTGTAGTCCCAGCTACTTGGGAGGCTGAGGCAGAAGGATTGCTTGAGCCCAGGAGTTTGAGGTTGCTGCGAGCTAGGCTGATGCCACAACACTCTGGCTCAGGCAACAGAGTAAGACTGTCTCAAAAAAAAACTTAAGAGAAGTTTCTGATGTTTAAAAGTCAAAGGGCAAACAAGAATGCAGTTAGCATCCATGAGAGGAAGAATTCATTTGGGGAGGGGACAGAAAAGTTTGTCTCCTCAACTCCAATTTCATTTCCATGCCACTGCTAACAAGTGGGGGTAAGGGATGGAGGATGGGTAGGAGAAACTTCATCAGGAACCTCAGACTTCAGAGCAGCCATACTTCTCATGGGTAGAATCCTAAAAAAGCAAAGGTCAAAGAAGGCACAACCCCAGCCTGCAGAATACTGTGCGACTGTAAAAGCTTGTATCTGTGAAGTGGAATATGACTTTTTGAACATAAGACTGAATTATTATTTTTCTTTAGGGAGGAAGAAAAAGCACACAATGATATCACAGCAAGGCCGTACGCACTGTCTGTCCACATCAGCAAGACAAAACTATGAAGATTTTTACTGTATGTAACAAGGTTGCTGGGAGGAAACTGGGAGATTATTGTAACAATCTACTATTCTAAATTTGTTGTAAAACTCTCTCCCTCTCTTTGAAGAGGCTTAGAACCTGGATGTTGTCTGACTGTCATGGTATGGTGGATGCCAGGAAGCAAAGAACAATCTCAGATGCATCCTCAAAGGATTACAACTACAAAAAAATTTGGAAAATGGATTCTGATAGACATAAGACCCAAAGCAAAAATATTTCACCAATTAACAAAAAAAAATCCAATAGGAAATTGTGTTTTGTTTTTCCTCATGGTAGTCATATAAATAGTTTTATATCAAAAAAACCAGAGATTTGTGCCAAATACAATGAGAAAAAGAATTTTTAAAAAGAAAAAAATAACCAGAGAAATTAAGAAATGCAATATTCACTCAAGTTGTTAACTTAAACCCAAGACTTAAAACAGATTTCAAATTTGTGTTATGTCAGAGAAGTCTCCAGAGAGCCAAGTTCAATGACCTCTAACCTGAGGGTACTTCCTTGGAAACACTAGAAAAAGGACATATCCAAACACTAGAAGACTTACTATCATTGACAAAACTTCTTGTAATAAAAACATGTGAACAAAATAACAATGTTTCTCCCCAAGGACAACTCTTTAACATTGTAGAATCTTGTTTCTTGATTCAACTTCTCAATTTAGGATTCAGAACTTACCAACACACTGCGTCCTCCCGTTGCCCACAAATCCATAGTTGCAAATACAGATCCTCCTCCCTTCCCTTTGCTGGCAGGTAGCATGTTCATGGCAAGTGGCACAGACATCTAAACCTGAATCATACGGCATATATTTCAGAGAAGAAAAAAAAACGCAAGATGAGATACATTTAGTTAGTGGACATTTACAAAGGAGAACCAAAATTTGAATACCAAAATAAAACAGGACAGATCCAATCTCATCCTTTAAAACCTTCGATGGCTATTTTTTACCCACAGAAGAAAGTGCTAATTTCTCTGTGTGATAATCAATGCTCTTAAGGTCTACCCCAACCACACACAGCACCCTCCAGGCAAAAGAGGCCAACTACTCTTTCCCTAAAGGACTGTCTGTAATCACACTTGCACGCCACAGTCTTGATGCCTCTTTGCCTAAAATGCCTCTGCCTCCTTCTCTACCCAGCTAGCACCTGTTCGTATTTCGAGACCCAGCTTAAATGTCACATTCTCCCAGGGTTCTTCCCCATTCCTCCATACTTTTAAGGAAAATTGAATGCATCTTCCTCTGTGCTCCCCTGACACTTGTACATTCCCATATAAATCATGACAACTTGTCATTATATTTGATTCCAGCTCTGTCTTCCCAGCTCGATATTATGAATGAGCCAATCGAGAACAGGGATGATGTCATTGTTCCATAAGTTCTTCTGACTCAGGACAAGATACTCAATATATCTTTATTGACCTCATAGATAGAGAAATCTGAAATCCTACTTACTACATCTCAAAAAGCAAGTGGAGGGGAGAGGAACGCATCTGCTATCACTCTAACCATTTTTCTTTTAGGGAAAAAGTGAATGTGTTTAAGATAATAATGAGATAACAGCCAAGTCCCAGCAGGATGACCACATCCCAATTATTTAGATAAACAGCAGAAGTGTTTGAGGCTAAAACTCCTAAAACATCCAAATGTACCAGATGGTGATATATGGCTCAAGATCAAATAAGAATTCCTACCCAAGGCTGTGTGGTATATTGTGTTTCACTCTTGGTGTCTTTGTAATTTCAGGAGTGGCCTAGTAAAGAAAACCTTCCCAGCATTGAATTTCAGTTTAGTCTTGGCCCCATTATTACCTAAGTAATGCAGCCAAGCCCTTAGGCTGCTGCAGGCAGGAAACCAACTGAGCCTGGGAGGTTTCTAAATACTGTTAACCACACTTGTTGTTTTGTTGCTGTTGTAGTTTTAAATGAAAGATAACACAAAAATGAGACAAACCACTAGTCATCACTAAATAATACCAAATTAACCATGGGATATTTATAAAATTGATCGTATCTCAGCCCATAAAGAAAAATGCAACAAATTTCAAAAAAGTAAAAATTGTATAGGATGCATTATCTGACCACCATGAAATGGTATGCTAAACCTATAAAACAAAAGAGTAGCATCCCCAAAAGAAACCTATATACATGCTCAGTGCGCAGCAAGATGGGTTTTGAAAAAAAGAAAAAAACCTACTTGCAAACCCCACAGAACATTCTTCTAAATAATTCTTGAGACAAAGAGGATATCAAAATGTTTAACACTAGGTATGAAAACAAATACTCCAGGAAATTTGAGTTTTATGTGTTTTTATACTTTAAAAGTGAGAGAAAACAAAACAAAACAAAAAGAAAAAACAGGCAGCCAGGAAAAATAACTGAGAACTTTAATGCTACAAGCTTGAAAAGGATAAAAGAAAATGGGGATTTAGGACATAGTAGAGATTAAAAAAAAAAAAAAAAGATGTTAAAGAATTAGAAAATACCGTCAAATCCATTAAAAAAAAAAAACTTTCTCTAAAGTCAGTGCATTGTAAAAACCTAGTGAAGTAGCCAAAACTCAAGTTAAGCCTAGTGAAGAAAAAAGTTAAAGCAGTTCCTAAAACTGTTTGACAAAAATAAATAAATTTTTTTAAAAGTGAAAGCATGCACAAACATACAATGTTAGGAAGAAAGGGTTTATAACAAAAAATATACAAAAAATTGTTTTTAATTACAAAGACTTCCAGTTAAACACTGCAGAGTTAATATCCACCCAAACCACAGCACACCCCCCAAAATACATAAAGGACTAGACAAGGATAAAACCTGGGAGAGAAGATGATAGCTGATGAAAGATGCTAACAATATCTCAGATGATGGGAAAGAGATGGACATATGGTAATTATCTTAGCAGAGAGGAAGAACTAAAAGCCAAGCCCAGAAAGGCCCAGGAATCAGAGTCACTGAGTACCCTGGAAGACAGGCCTAAGAGATAGGAATGAAAGTTCAAGGAACAGGTTGAAAATATCTACAAGGAAGAGACAGATGCCCAGATTCCCTCGCTGATGCTGGCACAAGGTAAAGTTGTACAACCTGGGAAATGAACCAGAAAGGCTCCAGATTAGAAGGACAGCAGGCCAAGCTGAAGTCAGAATGAGTCCCCACACCTAAATTTCCATCAATATGTGTCAAATATATTTAACCATTTTAACACACAACATTTTAAAACAGTGCCATAAAGATATGGTAAATTCATAATGATATGCAGCCAAAATCTTGTAACTATTTCTTAAATAATGGATCCTGGGTCAAGTCCAAAAGCCCAGTTGTGATCAAACCACACAATGACAAACATTCTACCCAATTTAATTTCACGGATGAACGCAATCCTATTAAAAGTCCCACATCTTGGGTACAGAGTTTCGGTTTGGGATGATGAAAAAGTTCTGGAGATGGATGGTGACAATGGTTGCACCACATTGTGAATGTACTTGATGCCTCTCAATGGTACACTTCAAAATAGCTAAAATGAGGCCGGGCACGATGGCTCACGCCAGTAATCCTAGCACTCTGGGAGGCCGAGGCAGGCGGATCGCTCAAGGTCAGGAATTCGAAACCAGCCTGAGCAATAGCAAGACCCTGCCTCTACTAAAAATAGAAAGAAATTAATTGGTCAACTAAAAATAATAGAAAAAACGAATTAGCCGGGCATGGTGGCATGTCCCTGTAGTCCCAGCTATTCGGGAGGCTGAGGCAGAAGGATTGCTTGCGCCCAGGAGTTTGAGGTTGCTGTGAGCTAGGCTGATGCCACAGCACCCTAGCCTGGACAATACAGTGAGACTCCGTCTCAAAAAAAAAAAAAATGGTAAAATTTATTTTTTACCACAATAATAAAAAGATAAACAAATTACATTTTTGCTTTTAAAATCAACTTTATTGAGATATATTAATAATATGCAAACAATAAAATGCCCCCATGTTTAAGTATACAATTCATGTTAAGTATACAATTCATGTGTTTTAACAAATGTATACAATCATGAAATAACTGCCTCAATCAAGATACAGAATATGTGAATATATGATTTGTTTATCCATTCATCTGTTGATAAACATTTGGGTTGTTTTCATTTGTGGACTAATATAATTAAATCTATAATTGAAAAAAGGAGGAGAGGAGGGAAACCCAAATCTTTATAGGGAAATCATTTTGTTCTGGATCACAAATTTCTCATGATGCCACTGAGAGACTGCAGATAACAGCTTCAGAGAACAAGTAACTAAAATAACCCAAGCCTACAAGAATCCTGCACTAAAAACCAAACAGTCCTGTTATAAGATAATTCGCCAATGGACAGACAACATGAACACACTGTCCAAAAGCTAAGAAACATAAATAGACACTGAAATCACACACAAATATGAGTGTAGTAAAATAATAGATATTAACACTATACTATTGAAAAAAATAAAACGTGTTAAATTAAATAATTCGAACTTAAAATAATTCCAACTGTTGGAATTAAAGCTGTTAGAATTTGGAATTATTCTGAGCCTTGAAAGGAATGTGGCTATGCAGCATGAGTCATATGGCATGTAGCTGCAACTTTTGTCTTTTTTCTCCTGTATATAGTTAAGACCAAATGGCACCAGAGATAAGACCCACTCAGATCACTACCCTTCCTCACAGAATAATCAAATAAACTTCCTTGGAATGTAGCAATCTATAATCAAATCATTGTGGCATATATACTGGTCTTGTATGGAAAATGTAATCCTGCTAAAACTTCTGTATAAGTGAAACCTTAACTTCTCCACTTTGAAATGCTGGCCCCATTAGTCTGGAGTTGGTGTTTCCAGGTGCCCATCCGCAAAGCTTTGCACTCAAATAAACTCTATACTGAATCATATTTTCTAAATCTCATTATTATAGGTTGACAAATGGGAAAACGGTTACTTTTTTCTTATATGAAATACTTGTCTTTATAAAGATGCAGCAGTTATATAGATCCATTTACAGAAACTTGTAAATGGAAACTGGAAACTGGAAAATGACTATTTCAGGTAATTTTTGAGTAAATCTATTAATAATAAACGCAAAAAAATTGCAAAGAGGTACAACTCAATCAGGTAAAGGAAGTCCAGTCCTAATTAGTGATGGGTAGAATATAAACTGTTCTAAATATGGCCTTATAGGAAGGCAGCCAGATATAGGGGAAAAGCATTGGACTTGAAAGCTATTCAGAACTGGATCCTAAATCTAGCTGAGTCTAATTCATGTGTGACCTTGAACAAATCACTTAACCTTTCTGGGTCTGGGGGGGGGGGGTTGGTTTTTTTTTTTTTTGAGACAGAGTCTCACTTTGTTGCCCAGGCTAGAGTGAGTGCCATGGTGTCAGCCTAGCTCACAGTAACCTCAAACTCCTGGGCTCAAGCAATCCTCCTGCCTCAGCCTCCCGAGTAGCTGGGACTACAGGCATGCGCCACCATGCCCGGCTATTTTTTTCTATATATATTAGTTGGCCAATTAATTTCTTTCTATTTATAGTAGAGATGGGGTCTCGCTCTTGCTCAGGCTGGTTTCAAACTCCTGACCTCAAGCAATCTGCCCTCCTCAGCCTCCCAGAGTGCTAGGATTACAGGCATGAGCCACCTGGCTGTCCAGCCTGAGCTTCGCAACTTTTAAGATGTATTCAAATTACCTAGGGATCTTAATTTTGTTAAGATCCCTACTGTAGGCTCTGGTTCAGTTAGTCTGGAGTGGGGCCCTATATTTTGCATTTCTAATAAGCTCAGAGGTGGACATTTTG